CCCCCCCCCCCCTTTGTATGGACACATACACGTGTACGGTATGAATTGAGCTTAAATGGAGAATTGAGAATTCATATAGCCGACCTCAACTTGTTTGGGACTTAGGTGTAGTGGTTGTGTTTGTTAGACATCTCTGTGTGTGTATGTGTCCACATGGATGCACAAAACCTGTACTTGTGAACTGTAGCAGGTGAATGAAGCAAAAGCTGCCCCGGACACCAAAATTCAAAAAAAGAAAAAAACATATATGTATGTGTGTGGACGCTTCTGTGTGTATGATATAGTGTCTTACTGGTTTTGTACGTATTGATGGATGAATTGTCTAACTGTTATCTGTCGTGTTAAAAGTGTCTTATTGGCTTTCTCTATATATTTTTTTTTGCATGACCATGTATCGGTGTGGATTTGTTGTTATAACCTATACTTTCTGATTAATAAGTAAGGTTGCTTTAGTTTTAGATTGGAAGCCCCCCCCGGGTGGTTGCATGTTTGGGGGATAGTGGTCCTTTAAAGTTCAGAAGTGTATTCAACTTCTTAAGATTTGACACTGAACATTAAGAGTTGAATAATGGTGGGTATGAAATATTTGTGATCACCATTGAACGTGCAGGACTTCTATGAAGATCTGTTTGAAGAGCTTAGTAAATATGGAGAGATCGAAAACCTTAACATCTGTGACAATTTAGCTGACCATATGGTACGTCCACTTTGCTGATATGAACTTTGCTATTGTGATTTGCTTTCATCTGACGACCTGAGTGATCTTATTGTAGGTTGGTAACGTTTATGTCCAGTTCAGAGAGGAAGATCATGCTGCAAGTGCTCTTCAGAATCTTACTGGAAGATTTTACGCAGGCTAGTTCTACTCATTTTGGTTGATGATGTATTTTTTTTATTGCATTAGCGGTTAGGACTGGTATGTTTTTCAGGTGGACTTTTGTTGTTTATGTGGAAATAATTTGAGGAAATCAGTGTGTATCCTATGCCAGATCAATATCAATGGTTTTTGGTTATTTTTATCTCAATTTCATTCCTGAAAATGAATAAAACAAAGTGCTACACAGTTGACCCATACTGTGGTACAGATGAATTATTTTAGTAGTATCTCTTCTGGACAGATCCCACTTGATACTCAACTTTTTATAGTTATTGCTGTTATTCCCTCTGCCTTCAATTTCTGAAGAGATTAGAATAATACTTTGATGTCGATTGCACATGGTTATAGTAGGTTTTAGCAAGTAGTAAGATTCGCAGAGTGAGAAAAGATGGTGTGCACATATATTTCAGGCTTTAGATCATCTATAATCCAAATGATAATATTCTCAAAAAGTATTGGAGGAATTTTAGGGTTTGGACGTTGTAATATTTGAATTTGTCAGGGAGCATGGTTTATTTCAAAGCTGATGCTATTATTTATTAAAGGAAGGGAACAAATAAAATTCTTATGTTATATAATCTATTTTTTGGGACTGAAACATCGTACAGTACGACTGACCATCATGAAAATTGGATATTTAGGACGTCCAATCATTGTCGACTTCTCCCCAGTGACTGATTTTCGGGAAGCCACTTGTAGGCAGTATGAGGAAAATGTATGTAACCGAGGTGGCTATTGCAACTTCATGCATCTGAAAAAGATAAGCAGGTTAGTATCTCGCCATCTTTCTCTCTCTCTCTCTCTCCCTCTCTCTCTCACACACACACACACACACACACAGAGAGAGAGAGACATCCACAACTCTCTGTGCCTTTAACCTTGCTAGTCTTGGTATTTGGTGGCTGATGCATTTGTTTTTTGTTGAAGGGAGCTGAGAAAGCACTTATTTAAGAGCAGGCGCAGACGCAGCCACAGTAGAAGCCGAAGCCCACGTGGTCATCGCAATTATGATGAGCGTCCACCTGGAGGCCGTGGTTTTGGTAGAAGAGGAGGTGGAGGAGGTGATCACCGCTACAATGATAGAGGGAGGAGACCTAGGAGCAGAAGTCCTGGACGAAGGAGTGGACACAGCAGAAGTCCCGGGGGTAGGAGAAATAGAAGTCCAATTAGGGAAGGAAGTGAGGAGAGAAGAGCAAAGATTGAGCAATGGAACAGGGAAAGGGAAGAGGCAGGATCTGGGAGGAATCATGGCAGTAGTACGCGTAGGGAAGACAGGGACGGCAGTGCTGAGAGGAGGGAAAAGATAGAGCAATGGAATAGGGAAAAAGAAGAGGCAGAATCTGCTAAATACAATAATTTTGACACTGATAATGGCAAGAGTGATGGTGGTGATCACTATGGAGAACAGTTCGATGATGGTTACCCAAAGCAGCAGTAGGTAGCAAATAGAAGTTATGGCTTCTGCTAGTAGTGTTACTCTGGTTAGTGGCACTGCCATTTATGTTTTTTGTTCCTTTCACCTGAATGTCTTTCAGTCATAGTGGCACATTGCAGAATAGCTCACTGTCCATTTTCCACTGTGCAGGGTGGAGTACAGGTCCACTGTGCTGGTTTTGAAAAAAGCATAACCCTTCTATTGTCTTCTTTTTACCATGTTTAAAAGGACAGGACTTTGTTTAGGAGGGATCATAGAGAGGCCTACTTAGGAACATTGCCATTTTCCTGACTCTGATGCATCAGTTGCTCGTACAGTGAAGCTTGCAATGATCAAAATCTCATGCTAATCTTCCAGTGTCTTTTTTTCCCGTCTCCTGCTGACTACTATTTTTCTAATTTAGGTAACCCCAACCAGCAGTAAAATATCACCTATTAATTGGTAAATGACTGTTTTCCTTATCGAAATAGATAAAATGATTTTTTAACTTTAGGTTCCATGGTCAAATGGTTTTCCATCTCCTCCTAGGTTTACTCTTCCTGAAATAAAGATGAAGAAGCATTTTATAGGATGATTGTGAGTTGAAAATTTATCCCTTTCATAATTATAAACCGATCTTAGCTTTGTTAATTGCCTACAGTATTTAGGCTCCTCTCTTTCCAGGAACAGTTAGAGTTTGTCAGTCTTAGAAGATTGATCTTATGCATTCCAAGTTTTTGCAGGTTAAAAGGTTCCTGCCTTGCAGCTTACAATGGTACTTGTATACAGGTTTTCTCTGCTGCAGACGAGTCCACTGGACTTTTAACATGCTAGGGATGGTGAGAAGTGAAGGAAGAGAGTCCATGGACCTATGAAGTTCTAGTTTCCGTTTTGGGTTTTTACCATTTGTTAGGTATTACAGGTTTTTATCCTCGAAGACAATTGTGCTGTGTATAACTGTACTTGTCTGTCACATGTTGGATTGAGTTCGTTTCAGTTTTTGCTTGTGTTATTTAAGTGGAATGCAGGTTTCTGTTGAACCGCTTTGTTAAAGAGAGCAGGATATTTATTTGGCAGTTGCTAGCCTGCAGTGTATACTTCTTTTGCAGATCCTTTCACTGTGTAGTTGCATCCCTATATATATCCTGTAGTCGAAATGGCTGCTGCATCTTCTCTTTTCTATTATGCATCTCCGAAGTAATTATGCTTATTGGTTGTGAATATATGCTTTGTAGCTTCATGACATGGAGGCACAAGCCATGAATGCGTGAGTTTGTTGAATTTTAGCCCTTCCAAAATGATGGTGTGGGAAAAGAATTAAATGTTGGAGTTTGTTGGATCTGTATAGTAGTTTAGCAGGAAATGTAGAAAGCTTTTGACTTTACTGAATTAGGCAAGTCACCCTATAACAAAAAATAGTTATTGTGCGACTTTCTATCCTGTGGAAGTTCAATCTAAGTATCCTAATCTGGCAAAGTGTTAATTAGTCTTTTATACTTTGGAGTTTTTACCATTCTTGTGGAGATGGGTTTGTTTTTGTACGAGAGGTGGAATACACTCCAACTTTTTGTTTCCAATTGCTCTAAGTTGTTATGGCTTCCAAGTCCTGAAGACAATAGAATACTCTGTTTCATATCGAACTCAAGTTGTTAAGGTGTATAATAATCTGTTTGGCCATGCTTAAAAATCAGCTTTTTTTAAGGAGTGCGTTTTTTAAAAGTACTTTTTGTGAGAAGAAGTAGTTTGTGTTTGACTTATTAATTTGAAAGCACTTCTGAGAAGCAATTAGTGTTTGGCTAAACTTGTAAAAAGTGTATTTTTTTCGAAAATGTTTTTGGGAATTTTTTTGTCTACTTCTCTATAACTACATCTGCTTCTGTTTGAAAGCATTTTTTTGTCTTCTAAAAGTTTGGTCAAACACTTCAACTTTAAAAAGAAGAAGTGCTTGTGGATTTGGAAAAGCTTGGCCATACAGGCTATAAGTCTTAAAAGAGGGGTATCTGGAAACTTCATCACATGAGTAAACAATGTCTGCTGCCCTTCCTGACATTTATTTTTGAAAATCATGATTTTTGGTTTAAGATTGCTTCTTTTGAGAACCCTCAACAGAGTGATGCTTTAATGCTTGAGTGTTGAAAGACAGATTCTTCAACGGGGGATGAAAGTGGATTGGAACCCAAAAACCTGTGTAAAATCGTTCGATGGTTTCATTTGAAAACTGTATACAAGATCACAAGACCGAATAGGACATGATCAGGTAAAGTTCCTCTCAAATCCGCACCATTGAAAATTTTGAAATTAACTAACTCTAAATCAATTATTAAAATGAAACTTGGTACGAATTAGCTAGTTAAGAGAAGTTAATTGCTAAATAATTCTGAAAGTGCTTTCTTTGATAAATAAGTAACACAGAAATTAATAAGTTGCTAAAACACAGATTGGAACTTAGAACAAGCGTTCAGCTTTAAACTATTGTTTCAACTGTAGGTCGCCTATTGAACAAGTAATTAACTGTACGTCAGCGCCTTTCTGGAAAGAGTTTTTGATGGTTTAAACCTTTCTTAATATTGAAATTAAAGAAGTATCTTTTCTTATGGGCACTATGTGGTCAATTCCATTGAATAACCACTAAAGAAAGAAAATTTTCTTTCCTCGTCAATGCTGCAAGTGTAATCTATCTGGGAATAAGATTACCTAATATTTTTCTGATTGACCAATAGTTAAGACCAATTTGATGTGGAAATTAGAACGAGAAGATTCAATTAGCTGCTTTCATATACAGTACTTTAAGCAGCTTCAATCACTAAAACTTCAAAGAAGCTAAAATACATTCCGTTTCATGTTGCAACACTACTGCCGTCCAAGATTCTTAATAATATTGATAAAATTCAGCGAAATTTCATATGGGGTACCCATGCCACTTCCAAAAAAAATTCATTTAATTAACTGGGGCAACACCACCAAGCACAATTAGGAAGGTGGGTTAGGGATCCACTCGGCGAAGAGTAAAAACCTAGTGAATCTGGCCAACCTCTCTTGGAGACTTCTTACTAGCACCATTCTCCTTGCGCAAAAACTATTCTAGGTCTGCATGCTCTAGAAAAATTATTAAAAACACCTTCTTCATATGGAGAAGAGCATTATCCAATAATGGAAAATTTGTAACAAAGGTACCACTTGGTTCCTCTCGAGCCTCAATGTCTGGAACGGTCGACGGATTCACCACACTCCTCCACTACGGCACTGTATATATGGTCCTCTAACACAAAAAGACGAAATGCTCACCATTACGGATATCTGGCTTAATAATAAATGGGACTTATCCCAAATATCCACGATCCTTCCACCAACCTTGATTAATAAAATCTCTGCTATTACTCTTAGCCTTCACAATTGTGACACCCCTGTTTGGTCACTAACCATAAATGGGCTATTTACAAGCAAATCTTGTTACAATCTAGTTTCTAGCTACTCCCCACGGATAAAGACTTTACTTGGTTCTGAGAACTAAACCGTCCTAACAAATTAAAGTACTTAGTTTGAAAATGCTACCATGAGAGATTACCAACTAGAAGCTACTTAAACCACATTGGCATGAACATTGACCCCTGCGGCACTTTTTGCAAATTGCATAGTGAGACAATTACACACATTTTCCTTGAGTGCAAAGCTGTTAAGGAATTTGGGCTACTCTTAGGCCTGGATCACTAATATCCTCTACCACAATACTAACTTAAGAAACGATATCATTAGTGTAACGATCCGACCGGTCGTATTGAGCTCTAGTGCGTCGTTTAGCGGTTTGAGGCCATGAGCAGCTTCACTTCAGGTATTATGACTTGTACGCGTGGTCGGAATTGAATTCCGAGAAGTTAGGACTTTATTTGGAAAGAAAATTCTCACTTCGGAAGCTTTAAGTTGAAAGAATTGACTAAGGTTTGAGTTATGAATAAACGACCCCCGAATAGGGATTTGAATATTCCAACAAACTCGTATGATGATTTCGGACTTGGGCGTATGCCCGGATCGGATTTTGGATGACCTAGGAGCGTTTCAGCGCCTATTGTGGAAGTTAGCATATTGGAAGAATTTCATGAATTTGGGTTGAAGTGCATTTCAATGCTATCGATATCCGTTTGGAATTTAGAGTTTGCGAATAGCTCCGTATGGTGATTCTGATATTGGGAGCGCGATCGGAAGTGGATTTGGAGGTCTGTAGGTCATTTTGGAGTCATTTGGCTAAAGTTAGAAATTTGATTGGAAGTGGACTTTTTGATATCGGGGTCGGATTCCGATTCCGGAAGTTGGAGTAGGCTCGTAATGTCGAATATGACTTGTGTGCAAAAATTTGAGGTCAATCGGACGTGATTTGATAGGTTTCGGCATCGAATGTAGAAGTTTGAAGTTCTAAAGTTATTAAGCTTGAATTGGAGTGCGATTCATGGTTTTAGCATTGTTTGATGTGATTTGAAGCCTCGAGCAGGTCCGCATTATATTTTGGAACTGGTTGGTATAATTGAATGGGGTCTCGGGGGCCTCGGGTGGATTCCGAATGATTAACGGATCAAATTTGGAATTTGAAGAAGAGTTGAAGCAGCTGGTAACTGGTGTAACCACACCTGCAAGGCTTTGGCCGCAGGTTCGGAGCCGCAGAAGCGGCCCAGGTGTCGCAGAAGCGGATCGGGGCAATCAGGCGAAGGACCGCAAGTGCGGAGTCGTGGCCGCATTTACGTAAGCGCAGAAGCGGAGGAGGGCCGCAGGAGCGGGATTTTGACCGCACCTGCGGAGCCGCAGAAGTGGCTACTGTTCCGCATGTACGGAAATGGCGCTGGGCAGAAGGGTTTTATAAAATCGGGACTTGGCCTATTTTTCTCCCATTTTCATTTGGATTGGACAATTTTTGGAGCTCTTGGAAGGGAGATTTTCATCATCTATGTCAAGGTAAGTGATTCCCACCTATTGCAAGTTAAATACTTGAATTATATATGGATTTAAACATGAACAATTGTAGAAATTATGGGATTTGGAAGAAAACCTAGGGATTTGTAGATTTTGACCACGAAATTGGACATAGAATTGAGAACAAATTATATATTTGAGTTCGTGGGGTTAAGGGTAAAGTTTATCTTCGAAAATTTTTGGAATCTGGGCACGTGGGCCCGAGGGTGATTTTTATCGACTTTTCGATCTGGGTTAGAAACTGTTATAAATGGATTATAATGAGTAATTGAGCGTATATTAATGGGTTTGCATAATTATTGGCTAGTATTGGAGCGTCGAGTATCGGTTTGAGTCGTCGGAAGGTCTTGGAAGCCGGTTATAAAACTTCGGAGCGAGGTAAGTCTCCTTTCTAACCTTGTAATAGGGAATTAACCCCATAGGTGAAATAATTAAATATGTGCTCCTATTTGTGGAGGGGCTACGTACGCACGAAGTGATGAGAGTCCGTGCGTAGCTACTATTATGCCTATGTCCGGGTAGTTTTAGGTTACATCATGCCTTGTTGATATTGCTGTTGATTTAAGTTTATTGTTTGCCTTGAGAAGAAATAAGATTGAGGCTGCGTAGTAATTGTGCTGAAAGGAATTTAAATCGAGGAATTTAAGACTTTAAGCGTTTCCATTAGACTTAGTATTTTCGAAAAGAATTGAGGAATCTTATAATAGCTTAAGAAATCTATGGGCAACCGCGTCGCAGGTATGTTTCGCGAGCGGCGTAATTTACTCAAAAAGTTTCAAGATGAATTTCCATTATTTTGAAAAAGAATCAAGAAAGAGATACGCCTTAAATATTAAATCGGGTATGATTCGCGAGCGGGGTAATTTATTAAATTTATATTTGACCGCGTCGCATGTATGATTCGCGAGCGGGAAAATAGATGCATCTATGGTTCGCGCCATTCGACCCTCTGACAGTGCACAGTTTATTTTTATGTTGGATCGGGTCGTACGCCTCGTCATTTCCTCTCTCTCTCTCTCTCTATATATATATATATATATTATTCTCATGGAATCGTGCGTGACATTTGGCTAGAAGCCAGTGAATCTGAGGGATTTTTCCCTGATTTGAATTATGACAACTTCCTTAATGAAATCCACTATATCTATATATATGACCC